GGGAAAGAAATTTTCTGAACACATTAATTTTTTTCTTTTTAAGTAATCATGCAGGGAGTGAGAAGTATATTTCTATTTCATTTCTCATAGTCTATCACAGTTCCATCTCAACTCCTAATCATTCAGTGAGAGTGATTTTACCCAAGTGTTAGAATAGGTTTTACCCAGTAAAACAAGTTACATTAAAATATAGAATAATCAATAACCAGTCTAAGTTTAATGTTCTTTTCAAAGTAGGGGATTATTAATCAAAAAGAATCTTCAACTGAGTAACTTTGAAAGCATGTAGAAGGTAAGAACATAAGGCAACTTAACAGGAAGATTTTTTGATTGCTTAGAACCTACTGAATTACAAACTAAGATCATTTTTGGGACCAGCAAATGGTGTAATGGTTGTGTTGCTGGGCTCCCACATAGTTGACCATGGTTTGAGTCCCAGACCTGGCAACTTAAAACTCACGCTGGGCATGTGTGCATACATGCCCAAGATCCCAAGAGGAGAATGTAGAAGAGGCATTGAGGCCTAGTCATCCTCCCTAGGGAGTGATTTCTTGCTTTCTGTCTTTCCGTCTCTCTCTATCTCTCCAGTGAGTGCATGTGCCCTATAACAAAAATCTGTTTCTAAGAACAAGGAAAAAAAAGATAATTTTTCATCTTATGATAAGGTAAGAGTAATTCAGGGCTAGTCTGAAACAATGACTTCATGGTAGCAATGAAATCACTGTCCAAGCCATAGTGTTTTAGGCTCAGTTTGTATGTTCCTGAAATGATGGGTCTAGGTAGACTGCAACAGTGATAAAGGTGAGCCATGAAACATTAGAAATCTACTGCTGTATAATTTTTTTAAAAATATGACAGTAAGAAAATCACACTAAACCTCATTGAGAAAAGTATGCAAGTAGTTCATGCTCACAGTATAAAATATGAACCCAAATGAAACTAAACCAAACCAAACCATGACAACACTATTCAGTTGTACAGTAATTGTGAGGTAATAGCGGAACTTTCTTCCACACTTTCAGGATGCTTGGTTCCATTTGTTTCTCAGAGGTAATTAATGCTAATTTCTTGTATATCTTTCTAAAAACGTTCTGAAGGCATTGTATTCATTAAGGTTCTCTGGGTTCCAGGCTACAAAAACAAACTCTGACTGACTTAAGCCACAAAAAAAGAATTTACTGGAAGGATGCTGGGACAGTTTGCGGAACTGAAGGAGGATTAAACCCCTTGGTCTTGGGAAGAGTAAGCTAAAGGAAAGTTACAAAACATCCCAGCACCATGTACAGATGCTTGCCATTAATATGACTTGGCTACAAAGCTCTCCAGCCTCCGGTATTTCTGTTTTAAGCTTCAGAAATGATTGGCCAAGCTAGATTGGACCAGTGAACTGTAGTGTGGCTGTATGTGTGGGGGTGGAAGGTAGGGGATGGGAACATTTCAGTGTAGAAAGCTGGGGGCATTTTCTGGACAGAGTGAATCATAATGTGTGGTACAACAATCTCCATTTTCTCTCATACAAAACCTCCAAACCATAAGACATATGTTTGATTCTGAATCAAAAACATTTCACATTTTAGTAATCCCTAAAGTCAGAGATGCATTTTATAATCAATACTATGTTGGCGTTAGTGGACAGGCTTATACAGACCAATTTTTCTTTTTCTGTGACTTATAAAAGAGTGAAATTTCTCAAATCTGGCATTCCAGTAACTTTTACACAGGTGGGAAAAAATATTGTTTGTTCCCTAGACAGGTGTCACCTATAGGCATATTGGAATTGCATAACTGGCACTACTTTTTTGTTTGTTTGTTTTTCAGTTTGCTATAGGTTGTGTACACTTGCCAGAGAGGAGACTGGGGAAGTGGGGGAGGGATAAATTACCCTCCCCCAGAGGGGATGGCCACATTGCATTCCATTTTCCATTGTCCTCTTAGAATATTGGGCACTCATGCACACATGCCTGGTGTGATTATTTTAGGCCGCTGCACAGTCAGCCATGTGGGATCCAGCTGGCTTAACCTCCATGCCACTTGCTGGCCTGCTGGCACCATTTTTAGGAATTTCTAAACTAAAAACTGGAGCCTGACGTTGCTTGCATTGAAGAGACTCTTAGCCATGAAAATGAAAATCTCTAGACATAGCATTATCATTACACTGGAGGCTGTGGGTGAGAGTAAAATGAAGATATTCTACTTATTCTAGCATAATTACAAATTGACACCATGCTTGAGAACCTCTAACCTCAAAACCATGGAATTCAGGTTTCAAGGGACTTTGTTTCTGGTAATTTGTTAGAGAAGACCTTCAAAATGAACATACCCAGGACGAGGCTGTATTCAGCATTGAAAGCCAAAGCACATGGCGGTTTATCAAATCTCCTTTGAGATCTGGTTTTGGTGGAAGAAGGGCTACTTTATGTCTGAAGCTGTGGACCGTTCCTCCTGGCTGAGATGGAGCAGGGACACTATTTGCCTGCTTTCCTGAAATACACAGAGAATTCAGACAAAATTTGTGAAAAATGAGCTTTTAAGACACTGGTCATCAAGAAACACAGGACAGCGATATCTGAGAAATGGCAAATGAGTGCAGTGAAGCCCCCTCATGCCCCCACTTACTGCCTGGAGAGAGGTTCCAGCCAGCCATTCAGGGAGGGAGAGTCCAGACAGAGCTGCGTGGACCACCTGAGTAGGGAACTGAAAGCCTGGGGAGACCAATGTGATAGATGGACTGAATACCAGAGGTGTGTTAGAACCCTCCACAAGGACAAGTACAGCTCAAGCTCCAGTGCCCTGACTTTCAGAGTGCTTATAATCTACTTCAATATATAATTTTGTACTCTGATTTATCAACATTTAGAATTTCCATCTGGAACCCCTTTAGAATATAGCACATATTTTTAAAAAATTTACTAAGTTTGATTAATTTTTAAATTAAAAACAATATTTTATACAACTACTGTATATCATTACAGCATGCAAGATGCATTTTTCCAACAAGAATATACCGTATATTGGCCCAGTCAATGACATTATCATACACGGTGTCATCAACAGATAATTCAGATAATTTCTACTTAGGAGCATGCAGGAACCATAGTTGTGATGGATGAGAACCATTCCCCTGTTTATGTTCAAACTTTTACACCTCTGCAGGGTAAACACTTCTGCCCTCTGAGGGGGGTCTGCTCAGTCTTTCTGCTATTTTGGAGAACCAGAGCTTGACTGTAGAAGAAGGGGTCTGGTTGGTAAGAGGAGGAAAGTAAGGATTATCAAAGGCATTTAATCAATTGTCATAATTAAGTGATGAAGTGGGACCTGGCCCTGTAGTCTAGTGGTTAAGGGAGTCAAAGCCCGCATGGCCAACCAAGAAGTTTCAGTCCTGACCCAGGCTGCTTGAAAAACACACTGGGCACATATGCATGTGTGCCCCAAATTGTGATGGGACAGAGAAATGGAGAAGGGCTTGTTGTACAACCATAACCCATTGGGAGAGCTTTCTCCCTCTTTTCTGTCTCTCGCTGGCAAGTGCAAGTGCCCTCTAGGAAAAAGAAAAAGAAAAAGTGATGAAGTGGCAATGGGCTGGAAGAAGAAATAAATAAATGTCCAGAGCCCAGGAGAGCTGGAGGGGAATATTCTCTTGCTATTTTGAAGAAAGTGCCTTGGGAGTGGCTTTGTTTATGACAGTAGATGAGAACAGAAAAGGGATTTTCTGTTTTTTACAGAAGTATTATGAAGATTCTCTTCTCTTTAAGGCATTCAAAAAATGCAAATAAAGAACTGAAGTTACCACCAATGTTCTGATTTTGGCATGAACTCTGTTTATGTGGCTATACCACTTCTCTGAGGCTGAACTCAGAGAATTACATAAAATAGTATATATCATTCATGGGATACAGTATATTGAATTGTGGGACTTTAGAAAAAAATATTTAATTCTGCTTCAGGTAACACATATCAGAGAGAGAATTATGATAAGAATTTAGATTCTCAGAAGAGTCTCATTGATCTCTTTCTTCTGTACATCATGTTACAGAAGTTTGACCATTTCTCAACTCTGAAGTAAGGAAACTTTCCTGCAGTCTCTTTAGTTTCCTACCAGACTTTGTTAATAAGATTTTTGCTCTCTGCTTGATGACTTCCACCCCTTTATATCCTGAAATTGTTGCTGTCAGATAAGCTGGCATTTCAACACCAAGTCACAAGATCTTTAGTTTGGTTGAGTTACTCTATGATCAATCTATTTGCAGGAGGGTTGGCATTCACATATTCGTAATGGACAAATGAGAAAGATGGGAGAGCACATCTCATCTGAAACAGCTTCAAGCAAAAAAATATGGGCTTTTGAGCCTGGTGGCTATAAGTGTGCCTTGTTATCCCCTATAAAAATTTGGTTCTGAATATCATTTTGAACTAAGTATAGAGAGTATTTTCCAAGACCCCTTACACATACAGGTGGGGCAGTATTAACACATTATTTATATTAATAATTCAATGTTATCTCTCATAACTAATATGCTGCAAATTTTGAGCTGGAGAGCAGCTGTGTAGCTGCTCGTATCTGAAATAAACAAAGAACTAGTGTCTGTGAAAAGAAAGAGCCCAATTCATAACAAAACTGCATATATTTCTAATATAGGAAATATAGCTGCTTTGCAAAGTTCTCTGTAAGACAGTGGGAGATGTTATTTTATACACTCAGCATTCACCAGTGTTAACTTCCCAAACTGAACAGATTTCAAATATTTTGGGGATTTTTTTAGTTCTGTTTTGTTTTTACTTTCCTTAAATTGGATGTCCAAAGACTGCTTTCTAGAGTTCAAGTCCTTGATTGACAGTTGAGCTCTGGTCTGAGCAATCAAAAGTTTTCAGGCAATGGTGCAGACAGGAAGAAACAGACGAACATCAGGTAGGAAATAGGCCAGGGGCCCAGGGTTTAGGAGTCTTGCCATGTGTCAGAGTGGGGGTTCAGGAGGCTGGGGATGAGGTAGAGAAGAGCCAGCAAAAGGCAAATGGTGGTGGGAGGTTGCAAGGAGACAGACGGAGTTGAGAGAGAGGTATGTGCATGTTGAAATTGTACTGGTTGAGACAGACCTTTTCTGTTGGGGTCTGCCTGCAGGACACCTGCCAAGGCTTAGTCCAAAAGTTAAGAAACCAGGTTGGTTGAAGGAAAAACTATGAAGGAGGTAAGGCTCATTTCCAACATTCTGCCATGACTTTTCAACACCCCTTCACTCTTTTGGCAGATTCTCTCTACCCAGGTGTTCAGATCCCCACCCTCCCTTCCCTTGAACTGCAGCTGACAGGGTCATCCACATTGGAGTAATCACTGGGCAGCCTTCAGATGCCACGCTTTACTCTCTTAGTGTTTCTTCTCTCCCCAAAACTGGTTCCCTCTTTGCTCAGGTCCTTGATCCTTGCTGGAGTTAATTTGACACTGATTGGAGTTGAGGTGATAATGTCTGACTGATGATGTCTCAGTGTTTCATTCTTCTCTGATCATATTTGTACTCTTCTTAACATAGTGAAGTGGAAAGCCTAAAAGAATTGGGCAGGAAAGAGATTTTCCTTGATTTCTTCTGATCTCAACATACTACTTTGTGAGTAAGAGTTGGAAGGGCAAAGATGATACCTATTCCTCACTTGTCACCAGGATTCTTCCTACAACAAATACAAGTTAGTAAGAGAAAAGCACACAGATGTATTTGACACAATGTTACATGACATGAGGACACAGGGAAGTGTTGTGTTTTTGTGCTACATTTGAAGAAGGAGGTGCGCAGTTGTGGAGAAACGTGATGGGACATAAAGGGTATGATGATCCAAGGGTAATAAACTGGGCATGGGGGAGACCCTAACAAAGCTTGTCTGTTCAGATTCTTCCTAGTGTCTCTCTCTCTCTCTCTGGATCATTCCTTTCTCTGAGGTATGGGAGAGGACCCCTCTGGAATAAGAATCTTACAAACTACTTTTGGGGGAAGTAGTCAAAAAATGACCTTTCTAGATTTCATGGCTTGCTTTGGAAGAGAGGAGTTTAGGTTATATAAACCATG